ACCGGCTCGTGTTACAACAGAACAAAACGCTTCTACGTGCGCGTTAGTCGGTTATACGCGAAAATAAAACCAGTGCAACTCTCGTTGATTAAATTTAACGATTGGCGAAATTCGCGAAAGGCAATTGGAACTTAACTGTTCAATTTTGCCCATCGGTGGACAACGCATCTTGTAAGGCCCGCCCGCAGGATACTCTCAACGAAGACTGGTCGCAGGATCCCCAGTAGATACCCAAAGGCTTCAAAAAGGATGAAATCCGGACCGGCAGGGGAGGTTGCCACATCAGGAATAGTACTGTAAGTTAGAAATTAAGTGAAACAAAAAAAAAAAAAGAAACAAACGAACAACTAACACAAAAGTGAAATAGAATTATAAGAATAATAAATACTAAATATTGTAGAACGATAAGCAAGATAAAAAAGTGTAAAACGATAAACAAATATAAAGACTACGAACGTAGGATAAATTATTTCCAAATTTGCGACTCCCAAGGGACCCTCCAAAGAAGAAGGAAGAAACCAGCCATTGGTTTTAAAAAGAAAACAAAAACGATCAAAAATTCAATTAAAATATAGAGTAAAAAACTAACACTTGATTTAAATATACTTCGAAAATATCTTAAAATATACAATATAAGTAATATATCTCGTTTATGGCTAATGAAAGCAATTTAGTTAGGCCCCCAATAGTATCAGATCAACCACAGGTAGGCGGACATAACTTGTACAGACAGCAACAACGACATATCGACAGACAAAACGAACATTTACAAAATAGAGTCATGGCGAATAACGCAGAGCAGATGATAGCAGCCACGGTTAGCCAGATTTTAGCACAACAACTGCCGACATTGGTAAAGCAGTTAGCCCCTCTAGGGAGTTTAGTGACGTAGACGACCAAACAATAACTGCCAACCACAATTTGAATGACTTAGACAGAGTTCCGGACATAGTTAAAAGCCTCAGAGAATTCTCCGGTAATCCAGCGGAAGAAGAGTGTAGATCGTATACTCTCAGCCTATGCAGCTGAGGCAGGTTCGCCAAAATACTTTGGCATATTGCATACAGTGAGAAACAAAATCACTGGCAATGCCAACACGGCCCTCGAGTCGTATAATGTTCCCCTAAATTGGAGCGCTATCTCCAAATGTCTAACGCTGCACTATGCAGACAAAAGAGATCTGGGAACATTAGAATATCAGATGACAATGTTAGTGCAAGGAAACAACCAAACAGTAGAAGAATTCTACCAGGTCGTTTACAACCACTTGTCGCTGATATTAAATAAAGTAGGCTGCATGGAATTAAATAGGGAATCCGAAACCCTTATGACAAAAATATACCGAGATAAAGCATTAGATACCTTCATTAGAGGTTTGAAGGGAGATTTACCACTGATTCTTAGAATAAAAGAGCCAGCAGATTTACCTTCAGCCCTTCACTATTGTTTAAAACTAGAGAATCAAAGCTATCGCACTAACATGGCTTTGAATAGAAATCAATCAATAGACCTTCTGCACCAAAACCCCAACCACGTCCTGAGCCAATGGACGTGGACCAAAGCATCCGCACGAGGATGATAAACTACATGAACAGACCCAATTTTGAAGTAGGGAAAAGACCTCCACCACCAACAAACGCCGCGGACAAAAAACAAAGAAATTTCAACATACAAACAGGAGAAGAACAGACAGAGACAGAAAACGCTGACAACTATGTGACCATGGAGGAATACGTACAATCAATGCTAAATTACGAACAGCAGACTGAATACAAACAGCCATTAAACGAATACGCCCAACAAATTGAAGAAACAGATGACGGACAAAATACCCAATACGAACACTCAGACATTAATTTTTGAGAATAAAGAGCTCCTCTCTTCCTTACATAGAATGTAAGATGAGGAGCGGAAAATTACTCAAAATACCAATAGATACAGGATCAAACCGAAATTACGTCCAACCGAAATTCGTGTCCGAACCTATTCCGAACGAAAAACCCTTCGAAGCCGTCACAGTCGGCGGAAGCATCAAAATTACACAGCACAAGTTCGCTAATCTTTTCAATAGAAGCGATATAAAAATAAAATTCTTTCTCTTACCCACCCTAAAATCATTCGACGCCATATTAGGTAACGATAGTCTAAAGGAACTAGATGCTGTGATACAAAGCAGCAGGAATCTACTAATAATCAAGAACAATATTTGCATACCCATTAAGCAGAAAAAAATAGAGGCGGTCAACGCGGTAATACCACGGACAGAACATATGACAAACGAACAAAAAAATAGCCTTAATCAACTAGTTAAAATGCACCCACATCTATTCGCCAATCCGGACGAAAAACTGACATACACAACCAACGTCAGAGCAGAGATTCGAACAAAAACCGACTCCCTCATATATTCAAAATTTTACCAATTTCCAATGTCTTTAAAAGACGAAGTACACAGCCAAATCAAAGAACTTTTAGAGGACGGAATCATCCGACCCTCCCGATCCCCATACAATTCACCTGTGTGGATTGTTCCGAAAAAATTAGATGCCTCCGGGCAAAAGAAATATCGCATAGTTTTAGACTACAGGAAACTAAATAAAGAAACTACCGCAGACAAATACCCTATACTAAAAACTGCCTTCTCCGTTAACAACGGAAAATACGAGTTTACAAGACTCCCATTCGGTCTCAAGAATGCGCCCTCAATTTTCCGGAGAGCTCTTGACGACATCCTTCGTGAGGATATTGGAAAAATATGCTTCATTTATATTGACGATATCATTATCTTTAGCAACGATGATGAAATGTCAGTTGGACAAATGCGAGTTCTTTAAAAGCAGAGTAGAATTCCTGGGATTTGTCATCTCAGACAAGGGGATAGAAACTAATCCAAACAAAATTGAGACAATAAGGAAGTACCCACTTCCAAAAACACTCAAAGATTTAAGATCGTTTATTGGCCTTGCCAGCTATTATAGGAGGTTTATAAAAGACTTCGCTAAGCTGGCAAAGCCCCTAACCTCTCTTTTAAGAGGGGAAGATGGATGCGTGTCCAAAAATCAATCAGCTAAAAAGCTCATTAATCTCAACGAAGAAGCGATCAAAGCATTCAATAAAATAAAAAATTCCCTAGTTTCGAATGAGGTAATACTCCATTACCAGGACTTCAGCAAAGAATTTCATCTGACAACAGATGCATCCAACTTTGCTATTGGGGCTGTCCTAACCCAGACCAATACGAAAAAGCTAGGAAGGAGAACATTGACAGACTCAAACAGAAACAATCGACTGACATGCAGAATCATAACAAAAAACGCAACGACATACGAACTTACATACCTGGTCAAGAAATATTTGTCAAAGTCAATACCAGATTAGGTACCAAACTGTCACCCAGATACAAAAAGGAAATAGTTAAAGAAAATAGAAACACAACCGTACTAACAACAACTGACATAATAGTACATCAAAGCAATATAAAAAATACATGAAAATTACAGATTCCTATTAATGATGACAATAAACAGCTTATCATAACAGGCATTTAGAAGATCGAATTAATAAACTCACGAAAATCTCAAACGATTTAACCAATAGCATAAGAAAGGAATCTCTCATAAGTGATGAGATAGCTATTAGCTTACAAAATCAAATTAGGCTCATAAAAGAAGAAATAATTAATATTAAGTACGCCATACAATGGGCGAAATTGAATTTAATAAATACATTCCTACTTGGCGAAAAAGAAATAGAGATAGTAAACGATAACTTTAATAAAAGCAACATGCCACCTTTAAATATTGAAGAAATGCTAGAATTCGCAGATGTATCCATTTTGCATAATGGAACCACTCTGATTTATATTCTAAAAATTCTAAATTTGGAAGAAATAGAATGCAAAAATACTATAATAAAGTCAGTAGTCAAAAACAACAATATAATAAATTTAGAATTTAACGAACTGTTTCATTGTAATAAAACAATCTATGGCATAAACAACAATTGTAAAAGATACCATAATATTAAAATTTGTAACAAATCAAAAATTTTAAATTTGAACAATAATAATTGTATACCTAAGTTAGTTAGCGGAGAGCAAGCGCTCTGTGGCTTTAGCAATGCAGATCATATCCCGGAGATCGAGGAAATCGACGAGGGACTTATACTAGTGAACGACTTCAATGGCACTATTAGATGGCAAGAGAAGAAACGCGTGAGAGGCACCTATATGATTAACTTCTGGAACGAAACCCTTTTCATCAACAAACAAGGGTTCAGCAACCTAGAGGTCACCGTCATGATCCCAGGAAATCCCACAATACAAATAACCCCAATAGAAAACGAAAGAATAAAGATTCTTTCTCTGGAAGCATTAGAAGAATTGCACATCAACAACATAAAAAACATGCAAAAACTTCAGACGCACTCGATAGCAAATAGAGTCGGTTTCATAACTCTGTTCACAGTTGCCATCCTTCTTACCTGTGTATTACACGTAATGAAGAAAAATAAGAAAAATATAATACTGCAACTGAACAAGGAAAAAGAGAGACCCAAAAAAGAACCAACACATATCCAAATACAAAATACAGATGCCAACAACCTCAGGTTTAAGAACATACCTTTCTTCTGATGATCGCTTGAGGACAAGCTTAAATCAAAGGGGGAAGAGTTAACAACAAATAAATTCATACAGTCCCAATAAGAAGCATTGCAACACCTCATAAGAAGTGCACCAAAATGCTGACTTGGTGTCTGTGCCATTTCCTCCACGCGCCGACTGGCAACCGCCGAAAATTCCAAGAAGAATTGCCCAACGGGCCAACATCATCAGCAGCGACGCCGCTGCCAACGCCGCTGCCGTTAAGCCACAGGTTACTAGGGCTAGAATTGATTTAAGTTTATTCAGTTGCAAATTAACATCAAATAAAGGAAGTCTTGCTTCCCTAAAAATTATATTTTTTTCATCGTTTAATAAACTTTGGAATTAACTTATATACGTAATTAAGGTAGAAATATATTCTACACAACACAAGAAATACAATTCTATTACATACATATGTAAGTCGTAATATTGTCTGGTTGACAGACACAAATGCATGTATGTACATATGTAATACATATGTATGTATATTTCCACCAAAATGTAAGAGTTAAGACACACATACCAACAACTACTCAGCGCGTTAAGGAATACTTAGATACCCTTATTTATAGAAATGGTATATTAAATTTAAGGAAAACTTTTATTAATGATTGTTAATACGAAATTTTATTTTTCAGACATTGGAAAAAATTGTATATAAGAAGGTTAATAACTTACAGCACTGATCCATTGGTCAAATATCCTATCTGTCGGGCTGCTTGCAAGTTGCAAGTGAGTGAAGAAGAAAATAATTTTATTTCCAATTTTATTATGCATTTTCTATTCTTTTATTCATTTTGATATTTATAAATATATGTATATATTTAGGGTTCTTACACGATGATTTTAAGTTGTATACCTCCATATCCATATCTCCAAATTTTACATACATACATATACATATGTCGTATGTATTTTTCACATAATTTTTGCACGGTTTTCTAAGGAACGTAAAAAACAGAGGTACGTGTATGTACATACGTATATACATACATGTATTTAATTTTCATTTTTAAAGCAACTGCAATACTCAAGCCTTATAATTGAATCATGTGAAAATGAAAAAGTAGGACAATACTTGGGGTAATTGTGACTGTAATCAATAGCTAGAGCACTAGACAAATAAATTTAAAATCGTTTTGCTCTGGACAAAAGATGGAACCAGATGCGGATGCAAAGTCGCCACCAATAACAGCTCAACCAGAGAATGAAAGACAGCAAGAAGAAAGTGGATTGCGCAATATTTACGCCATCACATAAAGATGGTGGCTGTACCATAAACAACAGTGGAATGGTGACTATGGAGAAACTGCTGCCTCCGCAAATGCGACAGCACGCTGTAGCGGTTGGGCCCGCATAACTACAGGCAAAATGTACTGAAATGTGGGCGAGCCTAAGCGTAGCAGCCACAGAGGGCAAAGTCAAAAACTACTCATAGTATTGGAATGCAATTTCACTTTTTTAAATAATTTTTCAATAACTGTGCGTTTCTTGTAATCTTTTTGAGTACACACCATAATATGTTATATATACATTGTATGTATTTGTTCAGAGCATTCATGTAAAACATGGCTAACGATTCTAATTTAACTACAAATAGCAACAAATAAGTAAGAATAGTGTGGTCGAGCATGTTTGACCATAAAATACTCCGTGCCCCTCAGTTAACATTATATTTTGGTTTTTAACACCACTTTATATTCGTAGAACACACATAATGCGATTTTTTATCCAAATTTAACACTAAATGTACATATATTTTTATACACTATTTGACAGTTACATTTAGTAGGAATAAGAACTTTGTAGTCGACTATGTTCGTAATTTTGTATTCAAAAATAAAAAAATTTGATTGGAAACATTATTTTAAATTATTAAATTATTTTATTATACTCTGAAACCATGCCTATGGGTAATGATTTTGTGCAAATGTAAATGTATGTAACAGACAGAAGGATGCTTCCGAACCCGTTGAAAATGGGCAAAAGGTTTGCTTATTTGATTTATGCTATGGGGCGCAAGTGTGTAAAATAAAAGATTGTTGATTGGCATATACTGTAATGGAAGCTGCTTGTTAAGTGTGGCAACTTTAAATCTTAAAACCAAAATGAGGATTTTTACATCGATCCTAATCGGTTGTTTGGAAATGAGGCAAGTTATCAATTATTGGAAGCAAACTTGTACTGCCTGGGTACTAAGAGGACCTATGTTAAAGAGGTCAGAACTCTGAATTTAAAAAAATCTCGGATGGGGATTTCAAGACAAAAATAAAAATGAAGTTCTGCTATAAGCATACAGAAAAATTCGTATTCCTTGCCAAGAGTTTATAGCTGTTGAAGCATCTAATGCATGCTTATACATTGTATGTATATACGAGTGGCCACTGAAATACTGGCCAAGAATATACGTACATATGTATGTGTGTATATTAGATGATGCACAACACAGACCCTTTAAACATATTGTCCGCTAGAAAATCAAATATCTACATATATATGCAAGTTAAATGTTGATACTTATAATAATAAGCAACAGGAATGTCTGTTGAAAGTCAAAGTTGTGGGTACTGCAAAATTGCAGTAAGCATGTGGCAAGATGAACAAAGTTTGTGTGGAAATCTTGCAAAACTGGTTGCGTAGAGAAGACTCTTCTCTTTCTCTCTGTCGCTTCACCCACTTTCCATATTTCGCCCTGGCTTGCTCTCTGATGCCGGTCCCTTCAGCAAGCACCTTGTGTTGATTTTGACGTCGTCAGCTTATCTTTATTTATTTTTGTACCCTGTACCAATCACAAATATATAAAAATGAGCGTTTTGTGCATATGTATTAAAAAGTAAAAAAATTAACTACATACATATATTGTGCCTATTGTTTGCTTTTGTTATTAAACAGCATAAATTCTCTAAATATGAAACGTTCACAGTTTTATGAACTGCTTCATTTGATTCACGGTTGATAAGTTTGCTGCCAATGAATTTACACACACTCGGGTTTCATAAATAAGCACTGAAAAGTTTATAAGGGGTCACAAACATAGAAATTATTAAAAATAGTTTTTCATCTATACGCCTTCCAGTACATTTCTATAAAATAAAGATGAAGGAATTTTAAAGGCAACTCGGCACAAGAAATAGGATATCTCGTAGTCGGTCACTTCCCGCTCTTGTTATTTATAATTAAGAAATTTCTTTACTTTCGGTTTCATGTTTTTAGCTCTACCTGTGGCAGCATCGTCGCGTCGCGTCGCTGCCGGCAACGCCGTCGTTGGCTATTACCTATATGAGCTGACGTTATCATCTGTACGGCACTATTTTAAATTCAAGAGTGACAAGTAACGGACGATCTGTTGCCGGTTCGAGTTTTCGTGCAGTTTCGTGTCGAGTAGACGCCAAACTTGTTATTGTCTTCCGAAATATTTTACGCGACCTCGTATAGTGGATCACGAGAGAAGTATCTGCTAAATGTTTTTTTTAGTGTTACGACCACAATTGAAGAAAATCGTGTCAGCTAATTTATAACGAATTGGCAAAGGTTAACATATTGCTCCGATAAGTTTGCTAACTACATTCGAGCCAACTATAGAGTAAAAACCACGGTAATTGTATGAACTGCTTAGATAAGCCATAAAGAAAAAAATATTAAATATTCATTGCAAATTAGTGTTAGCTAAATTAGCAAGATATCTGGTTGGTGATATTCGCTATGCGCGATTATCACGATGAACACGATGGCGAAAGCATATTTACATATTTACATAACAATAACAAGCTTAAAAAAAAATAGTTATATAGAAAGAAAACAATTAATGGTGGGATTTTTGTGGTCACATACAAGAAATTATCTATGTAGAAGGTTCAAAAATTAAAGTAAACTATAAATAAATTATTTTGATAACTGTTAAACTGACTTATAAATGTTTTGATGTTCATGTGCGCATCTTCAAAATATATTATCATTTATTAACAAGAGTGAAAGTTCGTTGATTGCATTTTTGTTGTTGTGGCATTTGGTTGTTTTTACTGTCTTTTGCTCGTTGCGTAAATGTTTGTTGAATTTTTTGTTGCTTTTACTGATATTTTGTTAATTATTTCATAGAAATAACAAATAGGTGATGCTTGAGGTTATGCTTATTACAATAGGTGATGTCTGGAAAGATAGGGTTTTCAAACTGTTGGACTATTTTTCTATGTTCCAATCCTTCCATTGAATTAATATGACAATACAGCGGAGTTAAATTTTTTGTTTCTGCGCTTAATTAAATCGAAATCTGATCTTTGGAGACTTTTAAATACAAAAATGCTTTTATCAAATTGTTCGTAAGAAACTTTTATTTTGAGCGCACAATTTTATTGCGGTATAATTATTACATTGTCATATATTTGATCATTTTACTGGACGCTACTCCGAACAGCTGATATTTCTAGACTTTTTCTGAATTCTTAAAACCAAAATATTGTAAAGAAATATTCAATTTTTCCATTTTTATACTCTTTCCGCCCCACAAATACTTATACATATCCGCCGGTGTGCCCATATAGATTAACGCGTCAACCTCAATATAGACTTTGAACGTAGGTTCACAGGCCCGCGCAGTACACGCTTGTACGAGTAATAAAAAAATCGGGTTTTCAGTACATCTCGTCTGTAATATGAGATACACCCGTTTAGTATACACACTCCCAGAAAACTTCACCTATAAAATACTCTGATTTCTTTTTTAAGACGGTCGAAATATACGACAATTATGACGATATGGCATATAAAAATAACTTGCTTGAATATTTCAGTAATTCGAAAGCATTTAATTGGTTAATTGATGCCACTTCAAAAAATGAAATCAAATGTTTTGAAATCGCTATATTCTACTCCAAAAGAAATTTTTGTTTGATTATAAAAAAAAAAAAAAAAAATGACTCCTGCCGGGAGTTGTAAGTATTATATATTATGGGGTCTACATTATTCAAAAGGGTAAGAGACTCAGTACCCAATGTGCGTTCGGCATGAACGAATATAAATATTTAAGAACTTTATACTATTTAACTTTTTCCTTTGGTGATTGATTAATCGGAGAACTATTTGTTCTTAAACAAAATTTTGAAAGTAGGTCCTCCTAGTGCCGGCGCTGTTAGGTTTTAAGAGCTAGAGTCTCCAAATTTCATTTGTAGCTTTTAAAATACTATATACATATATACAAATCAAGTATTTATTATTTATATAGCACTTGCCATCATGCCATTGCCACATAGGTAGCTATTAAACAAATAAAGAAATCATTTGAACATATTGAAACTTAATGTAAGATACAATTTTGTCTTTTTGATAATATACTTACAAATATGCATTCGCACAGTAAAACCTTCTGCTGAAACTTTAAGATCGGCTAGGAAATACAGAAGTTATTAAACAAAGTTTATATAGGCAAGCCATGTGTTTGCGGCAACTAACTCAAATGGAAATAATTTCTGCATGCTTGTGCACACATACACACACATGAAAAGAATTGTAATTGCGATTGTATCGCATACCGTGCTATATGAATGTGTACTAGTGAGATATAAGTGCATTTTTGGTATGGCTTTGAGGATGAGTCAGTGACAAGGATAGATGGTGTCGCAAGGTCGAGTCGAGGTCGGGCACTCCCGACTAAAGCACTCTTACTCCTTCAAAGTTTATTCTATTCCAAATGGTAAACAATGTCATGTCACCATCCATATACCATACATTTTATTCTCGATTTTTATACTCTTGCATAGAAGGGGTCATCTCATTAGGTATATATATACATATATTCGTAATCAATATCAACAGTCGAGTCGATATAGCAATTTTCAGACAGACAGACCGCCGTCTGTCTTTTGCTATGCGAAGTAGTCTTTCAATTTTAAAGCTGTCGTCAACCAATTTTTCATACGTCCCTCTTTCTATTTCACGCATAATATGTCGGAACCGGCTAGATCGCACCACTATATCATATAGCTGCCAAAGTATGTTCTTGTATGAACAATTTTTTGTTTATTAAGATGTCTTGACCAAACTCGGCATATATTAGCTTCAGTATGGTCCTCATTTGTATGCAAAATCCTATTTGATCGGACCACTATATAATATAGCTGCCATAGGAACGATAGGTCGAAAATTATGTTGTATGAAAAATATTTTTGTTTATCAAAATATCTTGACAAAACTCGGAACTTTTAAGTTTTACTAAGCTCCTCATATATATGTAAAATCCTATTACGATCGGACTAGTATATCATATAGCTGGCATAGGAACGATCAGTCGAAAATTAAGTTGTATAAAAAAAATGTTTGTTTATCAAGTTATCTTGACCAAATTCGACGTTAATTATTTTCCCTGTGCTTCTTAGATACAGCCAAAGGACTTTGGGCATTATGAAAAGGTTGGGTATGCAAGGGTATTAGATATTCGGCGTGTCGAAGATAGTCTTCTTCCTCGTTGTTTTATAAAGTCGAAGCATATTAAGATACTTATGATGACGATTGTAGATTGCTATTGGAAACCTTGTCAGACTAACTCTCTTGGTCTTATGCTCGCATATTCGATTGTTTGCTATCCCTTTTATAAGCACAATGAGTTTTTATTATGAACCTTAGCCAAACGAATTAGATGAAGCAGATGTTGCTGCAATGTTTTTTAACTTAGTGTAAGAGAAAGTTTTTACCTCGGCACGGTCTTTCTTTTTATCGTTTTTCTCCGCTATTGGGCGCCACTTTGAGCCACTTAAATGTACATAAATACATTCGAAATGGGTGTTTGCTTTGCTTTTAGCTTTTTCCGTAGATATATTGCACTTTTAGGATTTGCGTATATTCATATAT